GCGAACAATCTCATAGCTTGATAATAATGGAAAAATTAGATTAATGCGAAGATGAACAGTAATTAAGAGTGATAAACTAATTACATAAATACCGCTCAACTTTGATATGAAAATGACAGATATTAGTCAATTAGTCAAAAATGAAACGGGGTTCATCAAATCATTTGTGTCGAATCATAAGCAGTACGACGTACAGACAAGCGACTAATTTGTTCCGAAAAGTATGAAGTCGAAAGATACTATTCAGTGTAGACAATGGGTGTATAGATTATCAATAATGTAAACAGATTAAGTCTATTGAAATGTATTGGTTAGCGTTCCAAATCTCGAACAAAAGCATTGTGAGTTTGTGACGTCATTGACAAATTTTCAACACCGCGTGAAGAATTGAAGGTGAGCGCCAGGCGAGCGCCACGCATGAACCTGGGGCCATACTTTCAAAAAAAGTTACGATATCGTAAGTTCATTGGCCTATCGTTGACGGCCTATCAAGCAAAATCCACCTATCGTAGACAAGAAAATAAAGCGTAAGCACTTACGTTAACTTACCGAGTTTTGAAAGTATGGCCCCTGACCGTGAGTGAGGGAGGAAAAGACAGCCAAGAAATTTCAGCAGAATGTTTGCTCGAAGCTTCTGGTCAGGCAGCTTGGTGAGACTGAGTGCTTACGATGCTACAAGCACATGCACCCATTGGCATCTGATTGCCTAGGTGAGACTGTAAGGTTTGCTGCTACAAAAGNGAAATTGGATAGAGAATTATTGGCCGTAATTTGCACATTGCTGCATGCATATTGATATTCAACCTACATTCAAGCAAAAAACTGGTATTCTAGGCTCTGTCATTAGAGACTGAAATCAATAATTTCATCACTGAACTCAAAGCCGATTATTTCGATATTATAGCGCAAGGGACACTTTAATGACATCTTACTCTTTATCATCATTCGTAATACAGCCCTTAAGCCCCTTATAAGATTTACATTGATTCGAAATATTTAAAGTTACAAATCATAGGGAGCGCACATGTCGCGCGTAACCGGATGTTCAAATGAGGTAAAGAAGTCAACAAATGTCAAATATGGTAATTATTTCGTTCTCTTTGTATTGACTCACACATTGACTCGTTCTCTTTGTATTGACTCTCTTTGTATTGTTTGTGAACGTTAATTGTGTGAGCGGCAAACCATAACCTTTGACTCACTAATGAGCGAGCATCGAACACTAGAACAAAACTCAGAATAACTAGAACATAACGCGAAACTATCATTGAAGTCTCATTGTATGTCAGCGGGATAGGAGAATGAAGTACGGTATAGCCTGTCTCTTA